CGTCCGCATCCGTTTAGTCGGGAAACGAGCCGCGTTTCTCTTGATTTCTTCTTTTCTTTGGCCTGTCGCGCGCGCGTCATCCCTCTCTTGCCATCCGTTTTGTGATCTCTCGGTCGCGGTTTTCTTGCCATGCAAACCGACGATGATCGTCGCGCTCGTGAATCCGCTGGTAATCGATCGGCGTGAACATCTCGCTTGACATCTCGATGGACTCAGCCCCCTCCTCTTTGGTTGCAGACCGGGAGGTCGCCGAGGAGGACGGGGGTTGGCAGTCCGCTACCAACGGAGACGGTCAACGGCTAACCGGCCAATCGAGCCAAAGTACGGCAACTAGTCAGTGCGAGATGATGCAGGGGCACCAGCAGCACCAGGAGCTGCCCATTATCGATCTCTTAGACGACATTAACGATCAGATGCAGATCGTGCTCAAGTCGGAACCTCTGTCGCCGAAGATAGACGAGCTCGAGTCCTGTCTGCTCAACGAGCAGATCGATCTGCAATCGGATCGAGGCTCGGCCAACAATGCTAATGGTCAGCAGACGCGTCAGCAGAATGGTAACAATAACACCAACAACAGGCAACACCAGCAACCAAGGACGACGTTGAACGAAACTGTCCCGTTTGCCGATCTTCGTTGGCTAACGCAGAATGGTAACATGCAACCGGCGTCGAAACTTCGCGACGCCTCCAGAAGTCAGGTCGAGCAGGAACTTAAATACTCGAGCCGTTCGATCACCGGCACTTACTGTAGCTTCTGCCAGAAGACTTTCTCTCGTGCGTGGTCTCTTCAGAGGCACTTGGCGGACACGCATTTTTACGTACCGCAGTCGCTCTCCTGCGATCAATGCGGTAGAAGCTACAAGTCGAGGAACAGTCTGGTCAGTCACAAGAGCCAGTACCACGCGAGAAAAGAGCGAAAGGAACACGAGGAACAATGCGAGGTCACGTATTGACCGACATCCATGGTTTAGTGACCGAATTTGCGTCGAGGTTCCGTCTTGCCCCGAGAGATCTACGCACGAAGAAACGCGGAATCAAGAGAAGAGAATACGGCAGAACCGTACGACCTTCTGGAACGCGATTAATCGTCGTTCCTCGTTGCATGAGAAAGCAAAGAGACGTTCGACCATCGTTTAGATAATTTTATAAGTACCACGTTGATCGAGTAGTCGCGTTATTTCGTTTCGTTTGAAACGCTTGCGTTACCGAGATAATATTAATCCTAGTCTTCTGATCGTAAAACGAGTTACCTCGATGCACGCCAAAGAGAGTCGCGAATCGAAACCTATGCATACGCGTTACCTCAAAGAATTCACGCGGAACGTCCTGTTCCTCCTTTGCCAGTCGATCGTGTCGCGTTACGCGCGCACCCTTCGAATAATAAGTTCCGCCATCTGGACTAGTTTCGTGCCAAGTTCATGGCTCGAGCGAGTGTCTTTCCACGGTAAAATCGATACCACTCTCCCGTGGTACGACTGTGCTCTTCCTCATCTACCCCAGAGATCCAGCCAAAAGGGTAGTTCATCGCCGTGCCGACGATAGAGTCGACCTTGTAGCGTTTTCCCATCGATTAGCTGCTGGTATATTTATCGATGGGCGTATCGCGTGGCTGTGCAATTTCTCTCGATCGAGCCAGAATAGAGTCGCGAACACGTCGTCGGTTCGAATTTTTGCCGGCAGAGTGGTTTTTCGCACGAAACGCGAGGCTGGTATCTCGCGAAACGCTCGAACCAAGGACGAATCTATTTATCGGTCGATTGGACTATAACCCATCTATCTACGAACCTTGAAAAACAATTTTTCGGTACCGATACGGTTGAGAGACTCGTTTTCTCGTATCGTTTCTCGTATCGTTCCGTCCGCCACCCCTCGCCTCGTCTCTGCGCCTTTCTCATGCACGGACTCACGATCGCGACCGTTCATTTTCTATAGTATGCCTCGCTGACACGATCAACGTCGTCGTCGTCGTCGCTTGCCGCGTTATACACCGCCAACACGAATCGATCGCTCGCGGAATCGTAGTTACGCTAAGGTAAACCGCGCGAAACGTAACTGTCGCCCCATAGTAATAGCGTGAATGTCGTTAGAAATGAATTGAGAAAATAAAGGAGAATTCGATGGAATGAAATATTGTTGTTTCACTGATAATTACCAACCCGTGGCACGTAACGATGAGTCGTTAAGAAGCTCGACCCCTCTGATAGGACTTCTGCTCGTTCGCGAATCATACGTTATGCTGAAACAGAGATCAATATTATAACCAAACGTTCGCTTCATCGCATCATTCCGTTAGACCAAATATCACACTCTTGTATATATATATCCACACACGTATACCTACAAGATCTACTCTGCTCTGTCTTGCTGTAAATAATACGCATCGACATGGATACATCTCTGGTGCTCTGAAAACACTAACGTCATCGCTCACGATCGTTCACTGGAATCTTGGAATTGCTTGCACTCTACTATCGTAATGCGCTAAAAAAAAAAGTAAGAAAAAAAAACAAAATAAAAGAGCACAACGATGAATGATGAAAAACGGTACGGCACACGCTGCCTTCCGATCCGGCAAAGAGCCTTCTGCAATCTAGTCGTGGCCATTGTCATCGTGTAACGACGCGGTTCACAGTTAACACCAAATTTTCAAACGAGCGATCTCGTTCCAATATTTGTTTCCAGTTGCACGTGACGACGTAGTAACCGCATCGGAAAGGATCTTTGAAAACGTTCTTCTAGTTATTTCCTAGAGTTTTTGAAGACGCGACGAAAGCGGCTGCTTCGAGGAATTTGCGCCGGAAGACACGCGTCGAAAAGAACGAATGGACGAAGTAGAAAACGGTGACAATGGTAAGACGACGCGCTAGCAGAAGGTACTTTCCCCGGAAAGCACGCACGCCGTACCACTATGTATGTGTATAACAAAAGTAAAAAGTCCAATAAAAATGTAATAACGAAAAGATGAAAAGTAGAATGGGCGTACGATGAAGATGCTGGGTAGCACCTGCAAGCATAATTACGTGGTTCCAAAGTAACGCAAAAATATTGACAAACATAAAAAAGTAAAAAAAAAAGACAGTTTGAGCACGGCTTGGTCGGGTGACGGTGCAATGTGCGCGACTAATCGAGAAGGGCGCACGAATTCTCTCTCTCTCTCTCGGCTCGGAAAAAAAGGTGGTAGATGGTGGTGTAAGAGTGAAAGAGAACAATTGACGAGGATCGCGGGACACGCGATGTGTGTGACTAGAGAGAGGACTCTAGAGCGGAGGGGAACGGGTTTCCTCGTTCCGTGTTAACGTGTCCGACCTACGTCCGACCTGACGTTCGAGCACAAAACCAAAAGTAACCCCTGTGTCTGGTTCTGCCGCCAGGTCAGTTGGCCGGCAGCGGCGCGTCCGATGAGTTTCGATGCGAGCCTTGCAACAAAATCCTGACCTCCCTAACGCGGTTGAGGCGGCACATACAGAACGTGCACACCAGGCCCAGCAAGGAACCGATCTGTAACATCTGCAAGCGGGTTTACTCGAGCCTGAACAGCCTCCGGAACCACAAGAGCATCTATCATCGGCAACACAGCAAGAACGAGCAGCAACGCAAGGAGATGGAACAGATGCGCGAACGGGAGAGAGAGCAGAGAGAACACTCGGACAGAGTTACCTCTCAGCAACAACAACCGCAACAACAGCACCAGGATCAACAGCAACAACAGTCACGACTGGGATAAACGAGAGCCGGAGGTCCATGAAACCTTCGATGGATTTCTTGGTCCTCTGGATCTCTCTGTCTCTCGATATTCGTTCTTCGAGATATCGAGAATTTAGGGATCGAGAACGGTGCCAGTGTTTCACGTGTGCGACGATCATAGTACGCCGTCAAAACGAGAGTTTAAAACATTCGTCGGCTAACGTTTAACGTACACACACGTCGTAAACGAGTCGTTAAAGAATCTCCTCTACACACTGGTCCAATTTACGTTATATCGGTTTCATGGCAATATCGTCGTAGGATTGCTAGACGCGTCCCGTTTCTTTCATTACGAGATATGATATTTACTTACGATAGGCTGTCGATTTTTGCATACGTTCTCTAGCGCTACCGTGGATCATTGATGTCGCATTTGTCTCCTCCACGAAGTAGGAGCTATATGTCGAGGGAAATGTCGTCTTTGAATTCGGGTCGCGGGAAAGATCATGTGATAGTAGGCGATACTGTTATTATATTATAGTTTCTCGTATTTTCGTTCGAGCGGACGAATATTTTAAATTAAATAGACTAAAAGGAAAATTAAAAAAAAAAAAAATGAACAAAAAGCGTAAAAAAAATACATAAAATGAAGCTAGACCTCGAAGCACTTGAATCGCGCGAGAAGTTTAATTTTTCTACTAAGGTTACAAAGAGATATATATATATATATACATATAAATGTTACGTTGAGTGTATATAAGTAGGTAGGTGCTCGGGTCGAGCAAAAACGATTCGGAACGTCAGGATTTCCATATTCGTGAGTGAGTTCTCTCGTTGTTTCGATCTTCTTTATTTAACTATTCCGTTTCGTAAGAAGAAGAAGGAAAGATGAAAAGCGTCCCCTTTCAGTCTTTTTTTGTATTACTTAGTTTACGAGGGGTGGTTATCGGGGGTAGTCGCGCGAGTATCGCCTGGCACGATGTTACGAGGAAAGTCGCAGTACAAAAACGTGAAAATATATTATATATAAGTTAATAACATGTAACGTAAGTTAATGATCGTAATGTTCTTCGCTTATCCTACGTATAGAACGTTGACGAGATATTAGACGCGCGATCGCCCGTCTCTTTTCATCCTATTTCCGTCTTTCTCATTCTCTCTCTCTCTCTCTTTCTATCTCTCTGTCTCTGTCTCTCTATCTTTCTCTGTCTCTCTCTTTCTCTCTCATCCCTTTTCCCGTCCAGACTCGTGAACGAGAAGAAGGAACTGGCTGAGAACAGCAACGAACGACCTTGCTCGTTTTGCTCCGCTCGCACGCGATTCTTACCTGTCTCCTTTAACAAGAGAGCGACGAATGTGACGATCGAAATACGTGTAGAGGTACCTTAAGGTGCAGCCAAAGGAAAGTTACTTAATATACCGTTCTTACGGGATGTGGTGCAATGAAAAGTACCGAAACGCTTTTTTCGTTCCTTCCTCCCGCCCATGTTGCACACGTGCGCCGAAATTTTTGGGAAATTGTAACGGTACCGGAAACAACAAGAACGATGTGTATCGGCATTACGCGCGTTACTCACCACGGAGAACAATTCCGTCGAGACAATCAATGTCGATTGCTAAATTAGCGGTTGCATTTCGCTCGGTCGATTTCGATTGGTTCAACGCAACGGTGGCATCGTTCGCGGTTACAATTTAGTATTAATCTTAATTTATTCTACATTCGAGACGTGTTTCATCGATCGCTCGGATGGGTTTCTTTTTTTTCTCGTTTTTCTGTTACAAAGGTACGCGTTTCTATTTTTAATATACTTCGTTTGTCTTTTTTTTCTATTTTTTTTTTTTTTTTTGTTTGGATTTTTCGACGATTATTGTTATCGCGAGAATTCTATCTAATGGTTACCTTTTTGTTATTTTGCGACTGCGATATCGAGATGAAAATTGTGATAGCTCTCGCGTTTTTTATTCACCCTTCGAAAGGAATCGAAGCTGGCGCAAAAAAACATCGACTTCGATCGTAGAATATTCTTGACGAAGACTGCGTCGCCTATTACGTAGAATGTACATATAAATTCTGTTCAAACGAAAATAGACGCCGTAGAGGGCGCGTGCGTACGTATTCATGTAAATAAGAAAGTCTTTTATATCTGAATTTATCGATACGAACGTAATTACACGAATATATAGAAGTTTATAAATACGTACACACACGCACATATACGATACATACTCTGTCCTCTTCTCTTTTTAGTCTCTAATATTGTTACTTCTCCTTGTTTCTTCTTTTTTTTTTTTTTTTAATTATTATTGTTCTCTTATCGGGTTTTCGGGGATAGCGTACGTCCAATAGTACTCACACACGTATACGCTTATCGTATCCTTGTTTTCTCGTTTCGTAACTATGATTAATCAGATTTTCGAATGGACTTATCGTCGACGATCTGTTATCTTTATTACTATTGCATTACGATAATGAATGATAATTATTATTATATTGATATTATTCTTCGAATTTATCCATGATTATTTATATGAATAAAATGTTTCTTTTTTGTACGCTGAGAGAGAGCGGCCCCCTGTTATTTTTCACGTATCGGAGAAAGGTGCACGCGGGTAACGTCGTGCGTCTCGTTAACCTTCGCGGCTTTATTATGCAACCTCGGCTGCGTTTTATATTTTCTTTTCTGTGTTTTGTTTGGCCGCGTTACACCTCGTTGCCCTGCGTGCGCTTCCGGCCGACCCATATACACGCATACCCCACCGTACTACGTAAGCCCCAGACCCCGTGACACGTATATTCGCCGCCCGAGGTGCCTCGTGGCCGTCCCCGAGTCAATGGGTACGCGTTCACGCTCCACA